AATTTAAAAAAAAAAGATTTACAAAATTGACTATTACTTTTCTACACCAAGAAGAGTTAGCAATACAGTCAGGAACATAACACGCCAAGGGCCACAAGTGTTCAGGAATTACATAAAAGATACAAACTCGGCTGGGGAAGGAGACTAAGAAAAGATGACCTCTATAAACTGAGACAGCACACTCGTTAGCATAATTTAGTAAGTCAATTGCTCCCCAAGTCACCTTACCATTCAAATAAATCCGAATAAAAACCGGAGTCAAATACTTGAGGGAATCAGCTGGCATACTCTACAATCTATATAGAACAGTAAAGGCCCAGGACTTGGTATTTTGACTTTGACTTTGGCAGAGCAGGTAAAGCTGCGTGCGGCGTGGCCCAGCCCTGGCCACTGCAGCCGTCTGGAGAACGAAGCAGCGGGTGCCTGTGACTCTGCCTTTCAAACAGATAGAGCTTGTAAAGCAAAGGCAGGAGCAGATTCCCAACAGGTATCAAGACACTCCACGAAGCCAGGAGCTAACAGCTTACAAGGAATACCAAGGCAGCAGGGCACTCACAGGGAACACGCCAGCAGGGGGCGCTGCACACCTGTTCATGGGTGGTGTGCTACAACCCACTTCCTTCGGTAACTGTAATACAGATTATCATATCCAGATGTGAGGATACACTGCAGTGTGCATCTCTACCTCCAATTCAGAGACAGTCTCCCAACGAAACTGTTAAACATATCTCAAGAACAGGGTGCTGGACTCTGCCTACACCGACAGTGTCAGGAGACACTTGAACAGCCGAACGATGGACTTGTGACTGTTTATGGACTACACTGTTGTAATGACACAGGGGAAATCGGAGGAGGGACTCGGGGAGGAAGGGAAAGGAAATCTCAGAGCCTATGGACTGTATCATCAAATAATAAAATGATTTAAAAAAAACTGGCTTCCTATATGAGCTGGGGGAGGAAAGAAAACCCTAGAATCCTATCCAATCCCAGGAGTAATAATGGCCGAACACCAGGTGTGTGTTCCCTAAACAAATGTGACTGGAACAAGCCCTGTTCTTTCTTTCCATATTACTGCTGACTCCAGCCCTGAGGTGTTACAGAACAAAAATAAAGGAAAACCGTACAACTGTACAACTTAGTTCAGATTATAGAACAGGATGAATTCTGACCTTGGTCTCAGGGAGAATTGCTTAACTAAACCCTGAATTATACACGAAAGGGCAAAATCAAACAAACAGAAAATCCCTCTCTGCCCTGATTACATCGCAATTAAGGATTTCAACTGAATAAACACCCTGGATGAAGATGAGTGAACGCCCCCAAAATCGAGGTAGCTATTTTCAAAGTCCTAAGCCAACCAAAGCCGGTATCTCTAAGAAACACAAATAACTTAAGAGGAATTCGGAGCAGCGCAGGGAAAGCACAGAATGGGAACCCACATGTGTGGCATTCCAAGCAGGAGTGACCAAGTGCAGTGGAGAGCAGAGAGGCGCAGTTAAAACAGCAATAAGCTGGGCCCACCACGATAGCCTAGTGGCTAAAGTTCTCGCCTGGCATGTGCCGCGATCCCATATGGCGCCAGTTCTAATCTCATGTGGGAGACCCGGAAGAGGCTCCTGGCTCCTGGCTTCAGATTGGCACAGCTCTGGCCACTGTGGCCTCTTGGGGAGTGAATCAGCAGGCAGAAAAATCTTCCTCTCCATCTCTTCTCCTCTCTGTATATCTCACTTTCTAATAAAATAAATAAATCTTAAAAAAAAAAAACCCAGCAACAAGCTGTTTAGCCCTTCAGACTGGCTAAAATTAAACAGCTAAAATCAGGCATTAAAGAGAAACCTCCATCCTCCCATCAGTACTAACCACACGCTACCTCAGAGAGAACGCACCGCAACGCATCGACGGGGACTCTGACGTGCCGTTTGCTCGACTGCGCAGCCGTGAGCGTGACAGCAACCGTGGCGGAAGCAGTCACGGTGAGATTTTAGCCGTCTGTGCCAGAAGGGACACGGGTGCCTCACTGCTGATCTGGACACAGATTGACCTGCACTTTAAGGATTTCAAAATGTAACATCGCGGTTCTATACCTGTGGGCTCACTTACTCGGACCGAATAGAAGTGGGCTGGAGAGGCACACATATGCCACCAGAAAATGAACGGCGACCCACCCGTCCCATGCTGCCCCCGCAGCTGGACGCAGTGGCTGCCCACCAGTGGGCACGCAGGCCTAGCAATCCAGTGGCTGAGCCACGGCGGCTCTTTCTCCACTCACAGCTCCACACTCACAGCAATGGCCCACAGCAACAGCACTGGGGACCCTGCCAGTCTCCGTACACCAGCACGGCAAGGCACCAGTACCACTTTTTCATCTCTTTTTTTTTTTAAGATTTATTTATTTATTGGAAAGTCAGATATACAGAGAGGAGGAGAGACAGAGAAGAAGATCTTCCGTCCGATGATTCACTCCCCAAGTGGCTGCAACGGCCAGTGCTATGCCAATCCGAAGCCAGGAGCCAGGAACCTCTTCCGGGTCTCCCACGCGGGTGTGGGGTCCCAAGGCTTTGGGCCGTCCTCGACTGCTTTCCCAGGCCACAGGCAGGGAGCTGGATGGGAAGTGGAGCTGCCGGGATTAGAACCGGCGCCCATATGGGATCCCAGCGCATTCAAGGTGAGGACTTTAGCTGCTAGGCCATGCCGCCGGGCCCTTTCTCATCTCCTGTCATAACTCTTACATCAACTCCTTCCCTGCCAGCACGCAGCCTTGCTCAAGCTCACATCCGGTTGCATCAGTTACTCTTCCTTTAATCGACTTACTGTTTTTCTTCCCCTGCTGTTCTTTCTTTCTTCTCTTTCTTGCAGTATCCACCTATACAAGCAGGGTTCCCTGGGCAATCAGTGTGCTCCAGTGGGGGTGACGGTGCACGGTGACAAAGACACACAAGGTTTCTACTCTTTCATTGTTCTATCAAACTTTCTATAACCAGCCCTGGAAGCAGTATTCCCATTGCAAACACTGTCCTTTGTTCAAATACATCCAAACGCTCTCCACGGTCTACCTAAAGACACCTCCTAACTTGGCAGCAGGCCGCCCAGGCCCCAGGCTCCCCCAGGAGCTGGCCTCACCCCTTCCGGATAGAATCTCCCACCATAACGCGGTGCAAATCATGGTCTCGGTTACTCAGCCAGTCCGGGGAGGGAGGGGACAGGCCTCCAAAGGGAAAAGCAAGGTGCTTGGGCAGCTCTGGAGCCAGAAGGCAGCCAAGAGGAGGCAGAGCCTCGGGGGTGCCCAGTCACAGCCGGTGGCAGCACCCGAGTGCCCAGACTCCCCAGGGCCAGGCAGGACAGGTGCAGCCATGGGATAGCAGGGACAGAGCCACAGCAGCAAGGGCAAGCAGCTGCAGGTGCAAGCATTTTCTAGAAGCAGCGAGGCCGTTGTCCGCCTCCCCACCCCACCCCCACTGCAGTGTGCACAGCAGGCCTGGAAGTTCAACTCCACCGACCGCAGCCCATCCTTTGCAGCTAAGGCTGGAGCAGGGGCCAGTGAAGGGGAACAAAGCCGGGAGCTGTGTGACACTGGCAGTGTGCAAGGCCACCCCAGAGTGCCTGATAACTGAGAGAAGACACATCAGACAGCTTCTGGAAAAGGAGTCTGGGTCATAGCACAGTGCGTTAAGCCTCCTCCTGCAATGCAGTGAGCTTCAAGCACAGGTTGCTCCGCTTCTGATCCCACAGCCATGCCTGAGAACACTGCCGGGGTGGCCCGAGTGCCTGAGTGTTCGGACCCGGGCCGTCCACAAGGGAGCCCAGGGGTGCTTGGACCCACGCCATGTACACGGGAGCCCAGGGGTGCTTGGACCCGCGCCATCCACACGGGAGCCCAGGGGTGCTCGGACCCGCGCCATGCACACAGGAGTCCTGGGTGGAGTTCTTAGATCCCAGCTTCCACCTTAGTAGTTGGAAAAAATTTTGGGGTCTCTGTATTTCATTCCTTCCCTCATTCTTTCAAATAAAATTTTGTAAAAATCTTAAAAAATATATATGTAGAAAAATGAACTGCATGATGTCTTACAGGCACATAATGTCAGAGAATTTAAGTGCTCTACCCACACTGCTTTTTTTTTTAAGGACATATTTACTTTTATTGGAAAGGCATATATACAGAGAGGAGAGACACAGAGAAAGATTTTCCGTTTGCTGATTCTCTCACCAAGTGGCCACCATGGCTGGAGCTGTGCTGATCCAAAGCCAGGAGCCAGGAGCTTCTTCAAGTCTCCCACACGGGTGCAGGGTCCCAAGGCTTGGGGCCGTCCTCACCTGCTTTCCCAGGCCACAGCAGGGAGCTGGGTGGGAAGTGGAGCAGCCAGGACACGAACCATCACCCATATGGGAATCAGCACATGCAAGAGGAGGATTTAGCCACTAGGCTATCACGCTGGGCCCACACTGTCACTGTTTCAAAAGTATAATTATTGTCATATATTTATGCCTACCTTTCCCCTCACTAGACAGTCAGCAATTCTGAAGCAGAACAACTTAGCCTATAAGAGAAGTGTTCTTGGTGGAATCTTGCCTTGCCAATATCCACAAAGTCTTTATCTCCTACAAAGTCTTGCACAATGAATCCACCTAATACAGGTACAATTGCCATCTCATTAGTCATTAAACGAAGCCATGACATAAAACACTGACAATTACAAAAGGACTTTAACACGTTCATGGAAAGATGCAGCTAAAAAGCGTGTTGTGCCACAAAGGAATCAGAAAACCACGCACAGCTTTTCCATCACACACACTTGGATAAACTCCGTGAAGACACCCCCATGTGTGTAGACTTCGGATTATTATTATTCTTTTTTTGGCAGCAGACTAATCTTTGAACTTCCATTCCCCAAAAAACATGTGGAAGCTCCGACGCGTCCCAGGAGAAAGCTTATGCGCATGGCACATTCCCCGTGACCGTCGTTACGCAAGCTGCATTCTTCAACGAAACCCAAGGCACTTACTAGTGATCATGGCCCCAGTGATGGACGCCAGGAATCCCACGCTGACCGCGATGACCGAGATCAGCCTGCCCTGCCTGTGCCTCTGCAGCGTCACGAACATCAGCACGCCCGCAGCACCGTGGACGAAGAGCGACGAGAAGAGAGCCCAGAGGAAGATCCAGTACCACATCTCTGCAGGGAAGAGCACAGCGTTAAGCATCCTCTTGCAACTCATCCGAGAAGCCCCGAGGCACAAGCCAACACCCGTGGGGGAGCAGGGCGAGGTGCAGCTGTTTCTAGGCACCAAAGGGCAGCCAGCGGAGCCAGGCTGACCAAACATTCCCTCTCACTGGACATCCCGGGTTGGGACCACACGAGTCTGCCCTGTTTGGGGGTAGTGGATGATGCCAGGCTGAGGATCTGGGAGCCTTTGTTGCCACCGCATGGTGAAAATCACAACACGGGAAGAATGTAGAACTCTCAAGCACCGCGCCAGCCGTGTCCCTTGTTCTAGTGACTTCTAAAGCCCTGCCACATTTCTGTCCCAACATTCAACATCATGGTTTGGGCCCTGAATAATAGTATCCGTTGTGTTTTTTAAATATATATTAACTAGTTCAGGCAGTGTTTCTAAGACTTACAGTGGACCCCACACTGTAAAGCAGTCACCCTAGGGATCACCCTTGTCACACGGAACTCTGCAGTTCAAAGTACCTCACGGGTCATCTGCATCACACACTCACTCCATGCCAGGCGTTACAAACCACACTGAACAAACAGCACCAAAACGAACGCATTAAAACCTATCAATCCAAACACCAACACAGCGTAATATAGACTGCGAGTGGAAACTAAAGATGATTTAAACAGAAAACAGAAGGCAAGCCCATAAAAACAAACAATTAAAACCAGAGTTACCATATGATCCAGCAAATCCAAGGCTAGGTATACACCCAAGAGAACTACAACCCGAAACTCCGAGCAGTGTCACGGTGTGCTGGCACAGGAGCCAACAGGTGGAAACAGTCCACCGAGCCAGGAATGGGCAGACAAAATGTGGCACAGGCATACAATGGGAAACTGCTTGCTTCTGAAGGCAAGGGAATGCTGTCCCGGGCTGCACGTAGGCGAACCCTGGGGTCATGATGCTGTGGTGGAATCCACCTGTTGCAAAAGGAGCAGGGGTCCGCCCAGAGGAAACAGAAGCGGGATGCTGGCTGCGGGGGGCTGCGGTGCATGTGGTAGACATGGGGCTGGCGGCTCTGGAGCATGGGAGAGCTTCCTCTTTGCAAGATGACACAGAGGTGGAGATGTGTTACACAACCCTGTAAATGGACTAAACTTTACAGGAACGTCCACCCAACAATGACAGATTTGGTGCTCCGTGTCACTGATAGGTATATTCAGTACTAGTCCGCGGTTCCAGGCACATGGAAGGATTTTTGGCTATTTACGTTATTTTCTGTGGATAAAACCACGTGTATGCTTGTGATGCACACTGAGACAGAAATACTCCAGAAAACGTGTGATGGTGAAGTTGCACCTTCCAGTCCACTGGGGGCTGAAGTCGAGCTCTGTGCAAACTCCCCAACCACTAGATGTGACGCACTTCCGGGCTGAACACGGGCAGGCAGGGGAGCAGGTGCACTGGGCACAGAAGCCCCACTCCTTCCATCCCACCCCACACCTTACCCGATGCAGCTCTCTGATTTGGCTGTCCCCAAGTTCGTTCGTACACAGCAGACCAGTAAATCTAAGAAAAGTGCTCACTTGGGTTCTGTGAGCCATGCTAGAAAACTATCAAACCTGAGGAGGCGCTCCGTGGGAGTCCCAGATCTATAAGCCAGTCAGAAGTATGCGGAAGGGCAAGCACCGTGGCACAGAAGACTAAACTGCTGTGTGTGGCGCCTGCGTCCATTTCAGAGTGCCTGACACTCAGCCGTGCCTCTGCTGCCTGGCCAGCTTCTTGTCGGCACACCTGGGAGGCAGCAATGAGAGGCCAAGCACGTGGGTTTCCACACACATGGAAAGCCAGATGGAACACTGCTGCAGCCCAGTGCCTGCCAAGCCCTGAGAGCCGAAGGCGCTGGGCGCTGACCCAGCAGGCGCCGGGCGGTGACCCAGCAGATGAAATTGGTTGTTCCCTTTCTAACACACACACACGTATACGTATACATATGTGTTTATATACATATTTGTGTATACATATTTTTAAGTGTGAGAAAGTCTGTCTTTCAGGTGGTATCTGAAGTGGGGACCCTTGCGAGTTCCCCCATCTTGCGAAACCACAGCTCAGGGCACTCCATCTAGTGGTGTCCGTGAGACCTGCTTGGTGTCGGGAAACCCTCACAGGACCCCGTGAGACACAGGAAACAAGCAGGGGGTCTCTGCAGACAGCTTTTTTTTTTGTCACAATTCACAAAAATGCGTAAAAATATGTTAATTATGGATATTTAAAATACAATTGAGTCAAGGTCACAAATTTTCAAACAGAACAGAAATTCTCTGTGCCGGATGGAGGGTATGGGTACAGAAGGACAGCGCAAGAGCTCCTGGTAGCAACACAACGGCCTTGTGCTCTGCTCATGGTGGCGGACACACAACCAAGTGATAAAACTGCGCCGAGCTGAGGACAGGTGCACAGCGAGGCAGGGGCGTGGCGTCGGCCTCAAGATCTCAGCTGTGACGTAACACGCACGTTTCCCTTGATGTTCCCACTGGGTGGCTGATGCGCTCTCCAGATGATTTCTTACCAACTGCAATGGAATCGGTTTGATTTTAAAAAGGAAGGAGGAATATATTTCTTAAAATGATCCAAAAAAATAAAAATTCAGCACCACCCTGCCAAGCTCACACAAACTGGAACACAGAATAGACTCAAGATAATTTGAACTTCCTGCAAGGAAACATCTGATATGATTTACAATGTGTATTAAAATACCACGGTGCTTCTCAATGACGTAAGAGTCAGATACTGGTAATTAAGGAGAAATCGACAAAGCGTGCCTTTTACAGTTTTCCTCTTCCAACTTTCAGAGCAATATGCACACTGCTTTCATATCACACTGTCGCTCCAGAGCAAATGGCTTCAATTTAAAAAAAAATCACACGCACACATTAAAAAGGTCTAACTTGCCCAGAAGATGTCTGGTTATTAAACGACCTAATTTCCCAACATGACACTCCACAAGGCCGCGACACTGGGAGGAAGCTTGCTGACACATCAGCATGCTCCACAGACACCTCGCCCCGGGACAAGCACGGGCTCTCCCAGAGCCGTCACCTTGTACGTTGGACCTAAGTTCACCTACAACATCATAACACATCTACCCTCCGAGAAGTTCTCTGCTCGAATGTCCCTGTGACGCAATTAGAAAAAAATAATATCTTGACTAGATTTAGTATCATGAACAGGGAAATTATTTGGCGTTATAAAAAGCAGAATTTTGCGGGCCAGGATGGTAGCCTAGCAGCTAAAGTCCTTGCCTTGAATGTGCCAGGATCGCATATGGGCACCTGTTCTAATCCTGGAGGCCCTGCTTCCCATCCAGCTCCCTGCTTGTGCCCTGGGAAAGCAGTTGAGGACGGCCCAAAGCCTTGGGACCCTGCACCCGCGTGGGAGACCTAGAAGAAGCTCCTGGTTCCTAGCTTCGGATTGGCTCATCACCGGCTATTGCAGCCACTTGGGGAGTGAATGAATCACTGAAGGGAAGATCTTCCTCTCTGTCTCTCCTCCTCTCTGTATATCGGACTTTCCAATACAAATAAATCTTTAAAAAAAAAAGTAGAATTTTTTTGCCTATTAAATATATTGCTACTTCCCTCAATAATAAACTCAGCTGAAAAGTAAAAGTTATTTTTTTAAAGAATCACACATTCACTTGAAAGTCAGTTCCAGAGAGGGAAAGAAAGATCACATCCAAGCCCTGATTCACTTTCCCAAATGGCTACAACAACTGGGCAGGGCCCAGCCAGGAGCAGTTTCTTCCAAGTCTCTCCCCTGGGTGCAGGGACGCAGGCACTTTGTGCCCCCAAGGTGCCGTGGCAGGGGCCTGGGTCACAGAGCACGCGGCAGGGTTTTTGAACCCACTGAACCCCCAGGAGACGCTAACACTGCAGCACTGGCTTAACTGACTCCACCACGGCACAGGCCCAGAGAATAAAATTTTAAGTCGAAATGTCTCTTACAATCCCGAGACATCAAAGGAGTCAAATGACCATGAGAGCGTGTCAAGCAGCCTGCTGCCGAGCAGTCCAGAGAGCCGTGCGCGAGGGGGCCACGAGGGGGCCTACCCCTTGGAACCAAGTGCGCTGCTGTCTCTGACAAAACAAACGTTGAACTCTTTGTTGTAGAAAAAAGCCAGAACTGTCAGGAATATTCAGTGATGCTGTGTTTTATGCCACAACAACCACATGAAATGACTTAGCTGACGGACGTCCCATCCTGACACCGGGCCAGCCTTGGTGAGCGAGGCGGTCCTCGGCCCGCTCGCACTGGCACTCCCAGGAAGCCCGCAGGAGTCGGTCAGGTGCCAGGCAGCAGAGCCAGGCAGCAGAGCCCCGAGAGCCTCAGGTGAGGGACAGGCTGCTGAGATGGAAGGAGTGGCGGATCAGTTCACCCCTAGACTGCTGGATCTCCTGAACAACTCCTCTCTCAAACGTACTCCAATGAGCAACATACTAAAACTGAAAGTTAAAACAATCAGTTAACGAGAAACTGTGCTGATACAAGCAATAAAGGAGAACTGGGAGCCCTTATTTCCAAACTGCTTGTGCCACACTAACCTGGCCAAATATGAGCCCAGGGTAGGCCAACGGACTCCTCTCAGCTTTGCACCACCACGGCTAGACACTTGGGTGTGCACAGCGACGATGGGGTCATCGCGGCTAACTTAAACACACTGCAAGGCACGGACACGGCATGCTACAAGCAGCAGCCCGTGGGTCAGAGTGAACGGCAGAGCCAAGCTCAAGTCCTGACTGTGAGCCAGGCAGGCAGCAGAGGCTGGGCGCAGCAGTCGGGGGCACCTTCCAACAGCTGGCCGATGAGCGCTACCTTCAAAACCAACGCCTCCTGGTTCCCTCTTGGGACAACCCCTGAGGAGACGAGAGCTTGGTGGCATCACGCAGACTTGCCAACTTGGCAGGTGATGCCCACCAACCCACGCCGGATGCAGTCCAAAGTCATGCCT